AGAAAGAGTACGATCGATACAGTGTCGTTAAGTTTATTCTTATTTTGTCTACTTTTTTTTCATTTATTTTCATTTTTTTTTTGCTTTTCTCCCCCTTCCCCTCCACTATCGATGATATTATTTTCTACCAGATGTTTCGATATCGGGTATCGACATTTTCATGAATATTAATAAAATATCATTCCCTGCAAGCGTTATTGCTTTTTTTTTTTTTTTTTTTAATTTAAGAGAAACTCATCGATACCCTATCGTACCTTTACTAATCGTGCTAATCACGAATTTCCTTGTGGTACACTTTAAAATTATAATAATGATTTATTTCGTTCTGTAAAAAACCGTTTCACAATTTAATTGTACTCGCGTATTGTTAACTTGGTTAATTTAGTTCATTCAAAGTTATTATTATTTAATATTAGATTTTTATAATTTTGGATTATTAGATCGTATATTTCCATTATTATAATTACGTGTTAACGTAAGCGTATAAATCGTTAAAGAATTGAACGTCAAAGTAAATTTCAATTACGATGAAATTCTTGAATTCTACTTATTCCTTACTTATATCCGTTTTTCTCCAGGACGTGATCCTTTGTAGTGGTTGTTCCTGTGCCCTGGATCTCTGTATTACTGTATTGGCAAGAGAAGGACAGAACATTCTGATTCCACGTCCTGGTTTTTCTATTTATCGAACGTTAGCAGAAGGTCTTGGAATCGTAGTGAAGACTTACAATCTTTGCGTAAGTTTCTATATCGTATTAAAGTTCAACAATTATCAAAGATAAATTTGTCGAATTATTTTCATTCAACAATTTGTCATATATACAAATTAATAATTAACGAAAAAATAATCCATTCGTTGTATCGTTTACGGTTACGCGCACACACAGCAATTGTGGAACTACTAATACTGAAAATAACAAACAAACAAAAAATGTATATATATATATATATACATATTAAAAGATATTATTTCGTAGATTTTATATAAGAAAAGAAAAAAAAAAAACAAATTTTATGTAGTTTAAAACAATAGCTCAGGAATATTATTTGCCCTAATTTTCATATATTCACGACAAGTCACCCCTTCCTTTAGCAATTCGTTTTTTCTTTCCCTTTGGGGGGTGACGGGAATGAATAACAGGGACTACCACCACCTCGAATGGTAATAGAAAGGAGTCCTTCTCGCTGGATTCTATTAATATTAATCGTTTGCTTTCAGCCAGAACGCAATTGGGAAATCGATCTCTATGACCTGGAGACGAAGATCGACGAATCTACGGCAGCGATAGTTATAAACAATCCCTCGAATCCATGCGGTTCTGTGTTTAGCCGCAACCATATACTCGATATTCTGAATATTGCTACACGTTACTACCTACCTATCATCGCTGACGAAATTTACGAACATATGGTAAGAGCGTTTTTTTTTTATATTTTTTATTTTTCTCCCTATATCCTCATACACTTGTTCAAACGTTAAATAATTTAAGCAAATATCCATCGTGAGCGTTTTCGTTCGTTATAAAATCGCAATAAAATTCGTTCGTTTCAATATTAATCCTACCATCTATTTTTTTGTTTTGTTAAATATATAATATATCTATATATCTATATCTACTGCGTACACGTGTGATAGTTACGAACTAACGAGAAAACATACATAGTGTCCTCGTGTGTCGTTAGACATCGATAATAATCATATTCTTTTTAAAAAATGTATCGTATGGAAGTAGTTTGCTGCACGATATTCGATACCTAATGAAAGAAATAATAACGGGGATGATAAATATTCATAAACACGTACGACGTAAAAAAATTCATCGTCCATATACTTGCATTTGAAATCATTTCATTCTGATCTTTATTTTCTACTAGGTTTTCCCTGGACAGACTTTTCACTCGTTAACGTCTCTCCCTAGTGAAGTTCCGATTTTACTATGCAGCGGTCTTGGAAAGAGGTAAACGTTGTAAAGATTTTTAAGATTAAAACAAATAGATAAGATAAGATGGTTGAATGTTTTATTGATCGATAGTGGTTTTAAATCTTCATCAATTTTTCAACGATTTATTCATACGTGAATATTCTTAAAGGTTTTTGGTACCTGGCTGGCGTATGGGATGGATAATCATCCACGACAAACAAAATGTACTAGAGGAAGAGGTAAGTGTAAAAAGATCGATCTTTTTTAAAACAAAAGACTATCGACCAAGTCGAAATTAATTACCTACTTTTTTTGCAAAAGGATTATTTTCGAATCGAGGTCACTATCCTAAGGTATCCGCGAATCTTCTACTTTAAACTCGTTGTACGAAGCTAAAAGTGTGGATCGGATTAAATTTTGTCGATAAAACTTGAAAAGTTT